AAAAAATGGTGACTATTATTTAACATAGATGAAGTATTCCTCAATCCTAGACTAATAAACATTATTTTATTTTATTTTTAGATGAATGATTTGGGACAATATTTTTATTCTTTTACTTATATTATCCTTAAAAAAGAAATAAATACAATGAAACTTAAATTATCATATGATGGATAATTAAAATTTTGAAATAATGATAAGATTAAATTAAAAAATATTTATTTTATTTTAAATATAAAAAATAATTATTACTTTAAGATAAATTTTAAATAAAAAAATATTTATTATTTTTGAAATGGAGAGAATGAAAGGGGAAGAAAAATGGAAAAAGAGAGTAAGAAAGGATATGAACACCAACAAATCATTATGTCATCCTGAGATATTAAATGCTTGTAGTCGGTAGAATATTCAATTTTGTAAGTATTCGTTAAAAAAATCACTAGAATATCCAGTCAGAGATTATACCTTATCTTTAATTAAAATAATTAAGTATTTACTTGAGTATATATATTATATATATTTTTATAGGTAATTATCCGCTAGGATATTAATACGTAATCAATTAATCATGTAGAACCATTCAAACATAGAAAATTCAATAACACTTCCTAAGTCAAATATGCAACCATTAATAGTCAAATTATGAACTTTTTTTTTTTTTTTTTTGTATTAGTAATTTATTTTTTATTTTTGTGAGAAATGGATCCGTTCGTTGTCAATTTTTTTTAAAAGTGGAATTGAGGGTTTGCGGCACTTTTTCTTAAATTTCTTTCGCTGATGGCCACGTGTTCTCTGATGGTGGTCTGTAGGCCTCTATTCTTACGTTAAGTGGACGGGGCTGTTAAATTTGCAAGCCCAATACAAATTATTAAGTATTTAAGACCAAAAACTCAAAATTGGACCTACATTTCAAAGTTTATACCCAAACCATTAGCTTTCATGAACAGATGGTGGGCTGAAATGTGTTAGTTATGGGCAGTACTACAGCCCCAGCTTATTAAATAAACTAAAATCCATTCATTTAGGTCAATATAAATCATCCCAAGGCTTGAATTAATAGGTAAACAAGTATTGTATAAGATTATTAATGATTTAAATAATTCAATAGTTATTTTTTTTTGTTAAAAGTAAGAGATCTTGAATTCAAGTAGTATGACATGCAAGTAGGGTGAGATAAGAAACGAAAGATGGTTACCTCTCATTATGGAATTAAGATAAAAAAAAAATATTGTATAAGACTATAAGTCAAGCATAAAAAAAGTATTGTATAAGACTATAAGCCAGGCATAAAATTTAAGTCTTAAGGAGATATGGGAAAGTTGATCAAAAAACATTTTCAAACCCAAAAAAGAAGAAAGATCAATATAATTCGATTAGAACAATACCCGAAATAGTAGATTAGGAGATTTTTACTATAGGCTACAGTATCATCCAAAACTTTTTTTATTATTATTATTATAGTAGCACAATATAATTCATGCACCATTTCCAAACTAAGGAAGGACAGTTGAAGAGGTTCTCTAGAAATGGAGAGCACTCGTTATGAAGGCAGAAGCAAAGCATGGGCGCATTGTACGTTTACGTACAAAAGACACCCTCTAATTCTGTGCATTAAAAAACAAAGATAATGATTAATATATATTTTAATATAATATATTACATAATATATTTATTAAAAATATTACTTTTATTTAAAATTATAAATAAATTAATTAAAAAATATAATTATATAAATAAAATATAAAATCTGATTAAATTAATTTTATTTATATTACACTTTTAATAATTGTATAGAAAATATGACAAAAAAATATTTTGAAGTGCAGATCATTTTCCCAAAAAAAAAAATGTATACTGTCCAATTAAGATTCCAACAACGCGGAAAATTGACCGAATCATTACATTCGGTGTCCTAACTAGGGGTGGGCAAAACTGGTTTTGGTTTAAAATTGAAACCAATTTTGAATTAACCAAAGAAATTCGGTTTTAATTTTATGAACCAAAATCAAATCAAAATTTTTATAAATCAATCGGTTT